CCCCCCCCCCCCCCCCCCCCCCCGGGGGCGGCTTCACCCCGGGGTAGCGTTGGAAAAAAAAAACCACCCCCCCCCGGTACGTCATTTCCCCCCCGGGGGGTAAGCTCCGACGTTTACGGTAGTCGACCCAACAACCGTTTTAACCAAAAAAGCATAGCAGCTTGGAATGATTAGACTACAGAATACTCTACCATCAACCAATCGAACTCCAGGCGCGATTTCTACCACCCTCCTGCCTTCGCCGTTAGTCAGCGGATTCAACTTATAATGTGAGCTATTTCTTGGTACTTGCCTTCCTCCTGGTTAGCCTGTACACACGCACCCAAAAGAACGTGACGGCGTCAGGCGACCTCACGTACCTATGCCTACAACTTTTTGGTCAACAACGCGCCAATAATCATGGCGTCCTCTCTTTCAAGAATGCACCCTTGCAGCAATTACGTGGTTCCCAACAATCTTCCGGAGACCAGTCGCCCCGGTGGTCTAGTGGTATCCTCGTAACCCGCAATTTCGCAGAATCTAGCTGACAAGTTCTCGTGAGTACCAAACTTCGACGTTAGAACCGTTGACAGGGAAAGGGACGGCTGGACCCTTCCCGCGAAAAAAATACAATTCAGCACGCACCGCAGGAAGGTGGGGCATGAAATGAAATAAAAAGAAGAAAAAAGCCCTGGTGTTTACCCCCCCTGCTGTGTGACCCTGGATGGTTGTAGTTGTACGAACATACTTCCTCTGTATCATAAGTTAGGGTACCTAAATTTGTACGGGCCCTTAACCGTGTCCGATCTGTTTTTCGATTTTTTTGTTGAAATCTTCGGAGTTTTTTGAGCAAGAAACATTTATTTTATTTTATATGCATGCGCCACCCCGCGTGCATGAGCGCCCGAGAAAAACCAGTCGGCCTGAAAAAGGCCGCATTTTGCATGTATTCTGCCCCCTCCGACCAGGCGGGGGGGGCGGGGCAATGACAAAAACACGGCAAAAATACCAAGAATTATCCCTGACCCTAAACCTAGCCCCCCCTCTACTCAACGATCCATGACGCGTCCCCCATACTAAAAACAGCATAATAGTGGCCCCCACACTGAAAACAAGACACTTGGGGGGACCACACTAAAACCAAGACACCTACGGGGCAAAGCAAGCAACAGTAGGGCCCTCATCCAACCCCCCCCTCTACTCAACGATCCATGTCGCGCCCCCTATACTAAAATCAGTATAGTAGTGAACCTCACTAAAACCAAGACACTTGGGGGTCACACACTAAAACCAAGACACTTGGGGGGTCACACTAAAATCAAGACACTTGCGGGACAAAAAGAAGGGTTGGTTGGTGGCGGGGAAAAAAAAGAGAAAGTCGACTATTCTTCCTCATGATCACTTGGACTCGATGCCGCCGCAATCTTTGAAGGGGTGAGAAGCGACGGCCGCCCACTTTGCTTCGTTTGAAAGGTCCAGCTCCTGGGTGTTGTCGATCTGGGTTTTGACCCGTTTCCACAACTTGGACGGGTACTTCTTTCCAACACCGTAGCGTTCGCAGATCGGGTCAAGCACGCCCTTGGGAATCCTTGACAACCCCGGCTGAATGCCCATCGCAATTTCTACCGCCATGGCATAGCGCCTACCAACCGATAATTCGGTGCCCCTTTTGCGAGGTGGTGTGCTGGGGGGCGATTCCATCGCTAGAGTAGGGTAGTAAAATGGATTTGAGAATTTTGTCGAGAATTCTCAAAAAATATCCAAAAATATTTTCTCAAAAATATTCCCAAAACAGGCCAAAATAGGGTACATTTTGACCAATAGTAGATACAGAAATATATGTTCGTTTTTTTAAAAAAAAATTTCCATCGCTTCTTCTTTGTTATATCTTTCTTACAAACCCGACTATGCTACCATCACTAACACGGTTGCACCCAGACAATCTATTGCATTTAGGTACCCTAACTTATGATACAGAGGAAGTATACACTGAAGAGTGTAATACACGTCTCACCACGAAAAATGGGGGGACTGTCGCCACAATAAATAGGACGAAAACACGAACACACACAGAGTCTGGGCACGAGCACGCGAAGGCCTCTGGTGGGAAGAAACGGGACAATTCTGCCCTTAACCAATACTACCCCCCTTGCACCTACGACCACTATTACTGCGAGTCGACACGTAGGCAACAAAAAACATAACCGTACGTAGCCCGAACACATCTATCTACCGTGTAACTTTCCGTAGCCCCAGTATACCGGGCAGCGGCAGCACATCGTTGTACTACTGATGCCTTCGGTTAGTCTAGTTTGGTTTGGGAGCAACCTACCAGATGCCACCCGTTGCTGGTTGTACGCGCATCATCGACGGACAACCAGCAACAGGTACCAGACGGCAGCTTGCACCCAGACCAAATCATACGACCAATCATACATTCTTGGCGAAACCAAGCCGCCAACCGGTGCGCCCGAATCAAGCCGCCACCGCCTCGCGAAGGACGGCGAGGAGTTTCGCGGCCGCCAGCTTCTTGGCGGCCTTCTTCCCGGGGGCCGTCCCGGTGGCGCGGAGCTCGCGCAGCGGAGACTCGTAGGACAGGGTGCACACCCATTGGCCGCCCGCCCCCTTGCTCCACCCGTCCTCGAGCGCGGCCTTCGTCTTCTGGGCGAAGAAGTTAAGCGCGCTCAGGGCCCCGCCCCCGCCCCCGCCTTGCGCCGCTGCGATGCCGAGAAGCGCCTTGCGCGCCCCGTGCTCGCGCAGCCTCTGGGCCGCCATGATGGCGGCGTCGCTCGCGGCCGCGGCCGCGCTGCCGGCTGCGGGCGGCCTGAAGCCCCAAACGAGCCGCTGCTGCTGGCGCTCGACGGCCTCGAGGTCGGCCGTGGTGCGGTCGGGCCTCTCGCTGAGGACGACGAAGCTGCTGTCCTCCTCCCTCGCGCGGCCCCGCCCCTGGACCATGGACACGCCGTGCATCATGGCGTCGTAGCGGACCACGCAGTTCGCCTTGGGGATGTCAATGCCCTCCTCGGCGACGACGGTGGCCAGGAGGAGGTTCACGCTGCCGGACCGGAAGGCCTCGATGCTGGCCTGTGCCTGAGCCTTCGTCACGGAGAGGGAGGCCGTCGCCGGGGAGGAGGAGGCGTACAGGCAGGCGGCGGAAAAGCGGGGCGCCAGGCGGGGGTCGGCGGCGATCACGTGGGCCAGCACGTGGGTCGTCACGCGCTGGACAACGAATACTATGCCGCGGAAGCATTTCTTTCCGCCGCCGCCGCCGCTGCTGCTGCCGTCTCCTCCGTGGTGGTCATACTTGTCCAGGAGAACGTTCTTAAGTTTATCGTACCGACGGAACGTTCTGGGAACTGCCTCCCAGAAGGCCGAGATCTTTTGCCGCACGTCGCTCGGCCAGACAGCCTCGGACGCGGCTCGGTGGCTCGGGGACCCCGTGCAGCCGAACATGTCGAGAATGGTCGCCGCGTCGTCTTCCCTCTCTTCCCAGGACACGACCATGGTCTTGACGGCCTCGTACCAGTGCTCCAGCTCGGCGAGCAGCAGGTGAAGCGTCGGCCGAGACGACGACCGCCGCGGTTGCCCGGCGTTCGCGTCGATGCCACACCGGGTGCATCGCTTCGCGACGCTGTTCCCGGTAAAATCGCCCCCGCCACCCATGCCGCGACCGGCAGCAGTCTCGGGCATCTTTGCCCCGCCGCCACCGCCGGCGGCGGCGGCGGCGGCGGCTTTGAGCGCAAGCTTGTGGGCGTAGGCGCCCCACTCTCTGGGAGCGAGTTTCCCGGAGGGGGGCATCGGCGAGGAGAACAACAGCGTTTGGTGCGGCTGCGACGAGGGCGGAGCAGCCTGCGCCGCCGCCGCTGCAGCCGTGGCTTCTTCCATGCTGCGCACGCAGGCCATGAGCAGGCGGGTGAAGGCGGTGCTCGTGCCCTTGGCCTCCCGACGGAAGAAGGTGGTCCCCATCTCGTGCGGCTTCTGGTCGGCCTCGGGGACGACGCCAGCCGGCGCCGTGTCGTCGGTGGTGCCGGCGGAATCGGGACGGGGGTCCAGCAACACCTCGGCCGCCGCGCCCATGGCCTGGTACCCGCCCGCCTCCAGCTCTTGTCGGGTCGCCGTTTCCGTGGCGGTGATGCGGAGCTCGTGGCACAACCTGGTCAGAGAGGCTTCGATCTTGGCGTCGCCGACGGCGTAGGAGTAGGAGGCGGTCAGGCCCACGACGCGGGGGTGCGAGCTTGATCCAGTAGCAGGAGAAGCAGGTGGTGGTGGCGTGAGCGACGATCGACGAAGGCTCAGGGCGAGCTTGCGGTAGGGGTGATCCTTCAGCACGTGGTGCACCTTTGTATTGTCGATGTGCGTGTACGGGGGGGGAGAGAGACGAGTTCTTTTTGCTGAAATGGTGGCAAGATGCAGACGATCGTACGTGTGCAGGGCCAAAGCCGACGAAGAAAAGGGGGAGAGGGTCACGCACCCGACGAAGAGGATTCTCGATACACACCACAACCGTACCGTGGGTGACAGGTGCAAGGTACCACACTCACACCCGTGGTAATTTTTGACCAATCAAGAAAATTTCACACGATGTGCATTCTGCGGAAGCAAAACGTAAGTTCCGTATCGGTCTTATATTTTGGAACAGAGTATCATCTTGCTTCATTGGACAACCTTATGGGCGCAGCAGGTACATGAGACCATCTACACACCACCCGGTTTCAAGCGTTTCTGTATGTAAAGCGTAAGAACGGGAGAGTGTTCTCATACCGGGACCGTGGCGTCCGCGGTACATATGATCCTAGTAGTCTCATGTTGTTGTGGCTCGCTGTTTTCCTGCACGAGGAAATTCGACCGAGAGAATGACACCAAGCACGGTGGCTAGCAGGAACGATGGCCGACTTGTTTGTTTTCGATTCGAGGAAAAGGTTAAATCCGTTTCGAAATTTTAGTGGATGCGGTGTACTTCTCTCTCCTCTGCTCCTGCCTTTTGTCCGGTTCAAGAAATAAGGTATTGATCGGAACGCAGAGAGAAACGCTTGATCAGAGAACGGAGAGGGGATAAACAATCTGTCAGCGGTTCTCTCTTGAAAGGTTCACCGGCACGAAAACGACAGACGTTGCGGCAGGGGGAGAAAAAATTAAATATGACTTTTCGGCAAACTACGTTGAGGTAAGTTGAGGTACATTTACTTTTGCTGTATGCTGCTGACAGATGCTGCAGCAACGCATTGCGTTCACCTCGTCGAAGATCACAACCCTGAACGCCGACCACTGCAAATGTCCGATCCCGTTCTGTTGTGCAGCCTTGAAGGCCTGTTCCAGCGTGTAAGGAGAGGCAAAGAGGCAGACGCGGCGACAAGCGGCGGGTGTCATCAAAGCACAAAAACCCCGGCGTGGGTACCCCCTCCTGTGTGACCCCGGACAGTGCGTCTTGCTAGTTGTAGTGTACCAAGTACGCTAAGAAGTGTAAGGGCACATATGCGGCAAACATGTAGTGTGCGCCGAAGAGGAGTACGCAGGTGGCGCCAGAGATGGGACGAAAAACAAAACAAAAAACATGGAGAATAAAAAACATAACACTTTGTCGCGTAAATGAACCGACGGCCGTCTTCAACGATTGCTGTATGCGTTACTGCTGTACCACCATCCGATTTTCGTGCATGTCAATGCAACATACAAAAGACATGCCCATACGTACCCAAACCTGCTCCACCACCTCTCCCTGCTTCGCGAATACCCGGCAGTGTTTTAACTCTAAACGACATGTACGTACTCGTACTGCACGCACAGACCTTACCTGGGGAGTGCTCACTAATATCTTGAACGTTGACGGCGGCAGTCCCGCCCCGCCCATGTACTTGGTCACGCTGAGCCCGGTCCAGGAGCCGAGGGCTTCGGCCTGCTGGTCCACCATGAGGCGTGTCGGCACAAGGAAGAGGGCGGGGGGTCCCAGTCGCTTGATGGCCTCGGCCGCGAGGAGGGTCTTCCCTGATCCGGTCGGCAGGACGACGATCGTGTTGTCGTGCAAGCACTTGTTGGCTATGCGAGACTGATAGCCGCGCAGCGTTTTCGCCGGGGCCTTCGCCGCCGTGGCCCTTGGGGTGGCAGCGGCTGCTCCTCGTCCTGCTGCCATCGCATGCAGTGCGTCGGTCTACACTGCACGCGGTGTTGTGCTGTGTTTCGCAATACACCGAGGCGGTATCGTGTTCGCGCTGGCTCTCTGTCCCCCTTCTTCGTCAGACCCGCGATTTGCCCGCGACTTTCTCCCTAGCTGGGTGTTGCCTCGAGAACAAAGGAAGAGGGCCTGGTGATGACTACGGATTTTGTAAAGGGAGTGGCTGCAGGACACGAGCGCCGGCCTGTGGCAAATGAAGCAGTGAGCCATCCAAGAAGGTCCAGCCGCCGTTGGAAGATGACCATGAACGAACGAACAGATTCAAGGGACATGGCGGAACAGATCGAGCCAGCGCGAGTTGGGAGCGAACAACAAGCTGGGCCGGCCAAGAAATGTACAAATTGGTTGAAAACGATTTACGAAACCGACCGGAACCCAGCGACATGGAAAGCACTCCGGGCCGCTTGCAAGGCAGTACGCACAGCAGTCGATGACGGTATCTACGCCCACCTCGAGAAATATGTGGCTTGACTGGAATCCATCCTTGAAAATCGTGACATGCGGGGCTGTATGCTGTACGCGGACGACGCTGGGTTCGTATCGAGATCGGCCGAAGGCTAGGCGAGGATGATGACCATTATAGTGGAAGTGTTTGAAGCATTCGAACTTACAGTGTCGGAGAAAAAAACAGACTCTCCTGATGAAGGTGCCGGAGAAGAAACCGAAGAAGGGGGCGCCACCGCCACTGCCACCACCTACGGTACCGCTGGTGATGGAAGCAGCGGGACAGAAGTACGCCCAGACAGCGGAGTTCCGGTACCTAGGTAGCCGGATCAGAGAAGATGCTGAGCTCACGCACGAGATCACCCAACCGATCAGAGCAGCGTGGTCTTGCCTCCGGAAGTACGCCCGGGAGCTCTTCGACAGACCGGCAGCACCTTGGGGACAAAAGGTCCGGCTCCTGAAAGCGGAAGCGATGGAGGCCCTACTATAAGGATGTATGACCTGGGCCCCGCACCGCAACAACACTCTGAAGACCTAGGGCGCCTTCCTCGCAAGAGTGTCTAACTCCGTATCTCGTCGAGTTTCCGTCGGTATGAAAAAAAATAACCGGTTCTAGGTCCATTTCCGGCAGAAGAATCCATTTCCGGCATGGACAAAAAAATATATATATTTTTCGCGCCACTTTTGGACGAAAATAAATGCGGCGGGATTCAATTCACAGGGAAGATCAACTCGGAGCGACTCGTCCACCCCGCCAATCGACTCCGCTTGGTCGAATTACCCATAGAGGAACTTACTGCAGGGTCTCCCGACCCCACCTCGACGGGATACTGCTCATTCCCTTCCCGTCGCCTGAACGGTGGCGGCTGCTGCCACCATGCTGAGGCGCGATATCAACATTGCGGGAGAAGCGAGGGTCATCAAGCACCGATGGCGCACGCACGCCAGGGGCTATCAGCTGACCTCCACGCTGCTGAAGAAGGGCACTGAGACTGCGGCTACTAAGGCAATAGGCTCTGTGGTGGATGACCTCGAGGGCGTTGTACATATGGCCCGAGAGCATGTTGATGACCTCCGAGAACGGGCTACTAAACGTCGCAAGAAGAAACCGGAAGGAGCCGCCACCAGATCTGCTGCCGCTGCTGCGGTGGCTGCT